ATACCCTCCCGAAATTTTCCGGTTTCTAACCTCTAGGACCGTTTTAGGATCAAACCGGGTGAAAGCCGGCCGCTTTTCACGAAAGCAGGCCGGTTTTCGACTGCGAGAAAAATTTCTAAGTATTTAATCACGAAAGCCGGGCGGCTTTTACGAAAGCCGGGCGGTTTTCGTCACCGTAGTTTTTTATTCAGGGAGTGGTTTCGAAGCCGGCCGGTTTATACGAAACCCGGCCGGGTTTCAGCAGCGCAGAAATCCCAGGCTTAACGAAAGCCGGGCGGCTTCCATGAAAGCCGGGCGGCTTTCAGCTGCGAGAAATTTTCCAGGTGAGGTGTTTATGAAAGCCGGCCGGTTTTCACCAAAAGCCGGCCGGTTTTTGGTTGCGAGAAACTTCTCTGCTTCAGTCTTGACGAAAGCCGGGCGGTTCTCAGTGGAAGCCGGCCGGCATTCGTTGCCGTAGTATTATCCCAATTAAATCAAGACGAAAGCCGGGCGGCTTTCATCAAAGCCGAGCGGTTTTCACCCAGGGCGAGGATTCTCCTCCCTTTTTCCCTTCAAACCCGACTAAACTCGTCGGGGTTATAATTTTACAAGTTCGACACTCCTATTGTTTACGAAAATTAATACATGAGTTTAAGGAATTACCCGCAACGGAGTCCGGGTTGGCACGTGCATACGCCTCCGTCATAGCATAAACTCTAGCTTGAGTTCTTCCTTGATTCACGGACGGCGCATTGCTCGTGCTCGCTCCCCCTGGCCCACGCTAGCATGAGATGCTCCGGCCCGGTTCCTACTTGCCGTGGTAGCGCCGCTTGGTCCTGACCCCTGGTTCCCACCAAGTTGAGGGCAGTTTGGCTTAATGTGCCCTGTACTCCCGCATTGGTAGCACCGTGGCGGATCACGACACTTACCGGTGTGGTTTCTGTTGCAATTCCTACACCTGGGCACCGTCGGGACTTGTGAGCCCGAGTAGTGCCCGCTCGTGGCTGGGTTTCCCTTAGATGGTGCTGCCGGTGCCCTGAACGATCCACCTCCCCCGTGGTTCCCCTTCTTATTGGGACCTTGGGGGCCATGGCTCTCCCACTTTCTTTTCTTGGCCTCTTCGGCATCTCTCCTCTTCCTCTCCTCCCATTGCTTTTCTCCCTTCAACCCTTGGGCAACCACTTGGCGGAAAGTCATATTAGGCAATTGAGTTGCCCTGTCACGTATCTCCAAGTCCAAGGCCTCCCAAAAGTGATTCACCATTCGGTTTTCATCACAAGCATACTCCGGTATGTGATCAGCAAGGTCTCTGAACTTGTTCTCAAGTTCTTTCACCGTCATGTTACCGCCTTGGGTTAGGAGAGTGTATTCCCTCACCTTGGCGTTTACTTGAAAGTCAGAGTAGTACTGGGCAAAGAATTCTTGTCGGAAATCCTCCCATGTAACAGTTCCGCCATACTTACCCTTGGTTCCATCCCACCATTTGGATGCCAACCCCTCGAGTAACCTTACCGCGATTCTCAGTTTAAAATCGGGGGTGAGCTGCATGTCAAGGGCTGCCTCGTTCAGCCTCTTGATCCACTGGGCGGCAACCGAGATGTCTCCCGTCCCATCGAACGGTTTGCACCCTAAGTCCCTCGCCTCCTTGATGTATTTGGAGATCCTTATGGCTGGACCTCCATCGCCCCGACTCCCATGCGCTTCCACATGGGTTCTCGAATCGCAAAAGCTCCTCCCTCTTGGAGCCCCGCCCGAAGGTTGCCCTGCACGGTGCCTTCGGCGTGCCCTCCTTTCTTCGCGTTCCCGATGATACTGTTGGAGCAGCGCTTCGATTCTGGCCAAGGAGCCACTTTCTTCCTCATCACTCACATCGTCATCATCCTCTTCGTAAGGGGTCTCAACTGGCTCAGTCCCCGGCTGGTAAGTTGAGTCCTCATAGGACCAATAGGTCTCACTCTCAGTATCAACGTGGCCATCGCTCACGGTTTGACGTTGGCCTCCACGGCCCCTTCCTCTTGATCCCCTAGAGGACCCCCGGCTACCGCGCTCGGACCCACCCGGTGCACGGCCCAATGGGTTCCTCCTAGTGATCCTTCCAACTCGTTCCATTTCTGAAAGAAATTAGGATTGAGTCGTTAGACTCGTATCGAATGTCAAATGACGGACGGGTACTTAAAGACATCCTTCGGCTCAAGTCACCGCCATACCAATTGTTAAGGGTACCATCTTAACAATTAGAGGCATTGCAACTCAAGTACCAAAAGTTCTATAAGTACAAAACTTATGCTCATGGTTTTTCAAATTCATTTTCAAAAAGAAATTTTTTGAAGCTTCATTATGATGTTTACGGACTAAGGCTCTGATACCATTTAAATTGTCACGCCCCGGACCTACCCGGACACGTCAACAACCCGCCGTACAGTACGAATAGTCAACCGCAGTCCGACTCCTCCATACTATACAAGGCGTCTTGAATACCATTCACACATAGTACATCCATAAACAAACATAATGTAAAACATTTATTAAAGCAGCGGAAACAATTGATACAAGTGTTCAAGCCACACTTGGCATAATTAGGCATGCAAGCCCCCAAAATAATTATTCAGAAAATATTATCCATGAGCATTATTCATATTTTTTTTTTCAAAACTAGAACGGGAGAAGCACGAACCAAGTCTTCTCCTCAGAAACTTCCCGAAGCAGCGGCTGGTGGTAGCAACCTTCAAGTTCTACCTGAAACTGTGAGGTGGCCTCCCCCGTGAAGGGGAGGTCAGTACTTGGAAGCATTTGACAAGTACAATGACAACTATACTAAGTATAATCAAAGTTTAAATCTCCGAGGCCCTCAACTAGGGCATTATTACATTATAGTTAATCCGTTCATTTAATATCAATTCATCATTATTTATCACGGTCTAGAGCCCAGCTCATAATCACCGTCATCTACTACGGTCTAGAGCCCAGCTCATAATCACCGTCATCTACTACGGTCTAGAACCCAGCTCATAATCACCGTTATCTACTACGGTCTAGAGCCCAGCTCATAATCACCGTTATCTACTACGGTCTAGAGCCCAGCTCATAATCACCGTTATCTACTACGGTCTAGAGCCCAGCTCATAATCACCGTTATCTACTACGGTCTAGAGTCCAGCTCATAATCACCGTCATCTACATCGGTCTTGAGCCCGGCTCATAATCACCGATTCCTTATAATTCAAATTCTTAGAATCTAATTCATCCATTTCTCAACTAACATTTCCAGCTAATATTTCAATGCTAGTTATTTATTTATTTCAATAAAATTCCTTCTTCTTGCATAATTGGCCTTAATATCAAGTATCACTTTCATACCTTCATGGCTTCTCCTCATGGCATCAAAGTATACTATCCCAAATGATATTCATGGTTGGTACAACCATCATACACACATATTCATAGCATCTAAACATACACAATTTATTCATAAATTTGTGTATCATGCATACTACACTCATAATCAATATTAGTTTCATTTAGGCATTAGTAACCATTAACAACTCATACACATCACATTTGTATTCACTTAGGAAATTAACCCAAAGATTATAAGTAACATAGTCGGTCATCCTCACCTTAATTAAGCTTAAGCGCGTTCTACGTTTCTTGATTGAACTTTGACCAACTCCGGCGACTTTGACCAACTCCGGCAAACTTTGACCAACTCCGACGAAACTCCGGCGAGGCTCAAAAATACTTTAAATCAAGTTCCTAACAAGGTTTTATCATCACAAAACCCATATCAACACAAATAACCTATAAAAGGTTATTTTCCGGCAAACCGGTCGATTTGGCTTCTAAGTCCGTTTTTGGACTTAGAATCACCTTCCAACCCATCATTCCACACTTAAATCATGTAGAACAATACTAAAAGTCTTTTATATGATATATACCCTATATGCTAGAAGAAAAACAAAGGAAAAGTTATGATAAGGTCATTACCTTAATTTTCACACCCTTTTCCTAGCTTTTTCCTTCTTAGACTTTCTTCTTGGACTCCCTTTGGCTTGAGTTCGGATTTGGGATATGGAGATGAAGTTTTCAGAGCTCTTCTCTCCTTCTTGGTGTATTTGGGTCGAAAATGATGAGGGTAAGGAGGTAGGGGTGGTTCCTTCTTGTCTCATCTAGACAATGAGTGAAGGGAGGGGCCTACTACATGTCAAAAGTGTCTCCCCCATCCTCTCAATTGTTGTTCAGCCAATTTGGCACTCATCCAGCCCTCAAAGGTTGACAATTTCGTGGGGTGGCCCCCACCCATGTGGGAGGTCATCCCAATTTGTCCCAACGTGTGCAATTTGCCCCGAAAGTTGTATTTTTCGGACTGTTTTAAGTATATTTTATTTTATCGGGTCAAATAAAATATAACACTTGTTCCCAATTCTTAATGGACCTTAGAATCAATATGCATCCCTCACTTTAATTTAGAAGTCTCCGAAATCCCTTTTCGGGCTGTTATCTGATAGGTTGCCGATACTGATAATTTGGCCCCGTTTGACCAACCGGTCAACCCTATGCCATTGTCATGGCTCAATTTGGGTATCCACCACCATATACATATTATCTAGTCCAAGATCAATATAATATGTGGCCCGATAATATCGGGCGGTCCCCACTCCCGATGTGGGCCCCACGTGCATTTTACTATTCACGCGAAAAAAAATTAATACAAATTCACAACTTCGTAAGTTCACTAAATATTTCATAGGGTTCAATAAATTATTATCTTAAAGATAAATACATTTGGGGACGGTGTTACACGTAGAGGCCCCTCCCCTCTTCCCATTCTTTCCTCCCCTTTTCTTTTTTCTATGAAGTAATACCAGGTGCAAACGGTTGTACCCGCCTTATGGTTGGACAAGTCTAACTCTGGTGGAATGCTTATTGTCCTACGTGAACGTGGAAATTGAAAAAGAGCTGCCCGATTATAACTTAAACTGGAAAGTGAAAACATAAACCAAATAAAACATTAACGTCTGCATTTGGCATTGAAGTAATTGGCCTCTATATATGTGACTCATATATTCCCACTTAATATTTGATAGTGTATATCATTTTACACATTTCTTCATTCCTGTAACTATATCAATACAATATACTTGAACTGATTTAACCCACAATTATTTTGTGAGTTGTAGAAGGGCCAAAAGCTGTGACTTTGTGTAATCAGTGTACTCTCTCAAAGAGCACTTTGGTTATGTGGAAATCGATTGTTTCCGGATTACAATAGGCAGCATAGTAAAACGCTTTTGCTACAATGAGAAACGTTTGCTTCACATCATGGATGAGATCTTCATCGGAGTCTTTTGTGAGCACCATTTTGACTAGGTATTGCATGTCGAGTTCTATCTCCGCAGTCATTTTCTCCAGTGGCCTTTTCTGTGGTTGACTCTGAGAAATCTGTAAATGTATATTTTTATTTTCAAAACATGATCATGATTGTTGTTATATGCTAGAAGCTAGCATGATTAAGAGTAGTGAAGTCTCACCTTGCACTGGCGATAGAGACAGAGTTGGTGGCAAATTCTATTGGTGATCTCCATCAGCTGATGATACTTGGGATGCGACAACAATAACTCCTCCGACACCTGAGGTCCGTTGAACATATTCAACGTTAACACTAAGAGTTCCGCTTCTCCTTGCACCGCACCGTTCTTTTCCCAATTTAGCAGCCATTTCCCCCACTACATATATTTAGTGCATGATGACAAGAAAATATTAGTTTCCTTTTCCACTCTAAAAGCCAACTCCACAGGAGGCTTTAGAAAAAACAGTGCATTTAAAATTAAGTGTTTGACATTTGACAATGAAATTTCAAATAGTGTGGTTAATTCTTTAAAGTAAAAAGCAGTTTTTGTGCTTGTTTAATAAAGAGGTTTTCATTTTTTTTTTGGATAAATAAAGAGGTTTTCATGTAACATTACTGAAATAGTGAAATAGAATTGGAGGACAAAAGTATGATTAACTATTGTGAGTGTAAAAGTACTATTATGGTTACTTATGTGTATAACACTTCTATAAAAACATTTATGGTCTAATTCCTTCTAAATAGAGTGTTATTAATAATTTGGGCGCGGAGAGGTTGTCAGTGCTTACAGCTAAGCGTAGGTACTGATGGATATCTCCACCGTGCGCTTGGAGTGCATCTATAGAGAGCTGGTTTAAGGTCTCTAGCAGCGCCCCGACAAGAGTCTTATTTCTTGTCGGGTGCCTACTTCCATTGTGGTTATTGTAGTCTTCACTGAAGTTGTTGCTTATGAATTCATGAAGGAAAGCCTTTTTCTGGTCTTGGCAAATCTCTGTCTTTCCTGTCCCAAACTTGGAACCAATAGCCTCCATGAGAGCAGATGTTTTTGCCCATGCCAGTCTCTCCTTTGAATTTTCTGGCTCAAAGATGCTCGCCATGGCTAAATAGTATCCAAGCAATAAGCTTCTTTCGCTCACTCCAAACTGCGCAAGATTGCAGTCTCTGTACCATCTTCACAATCACATGGTTTAACTGGTCATTATATGCTCTTAATCTTATATCATTTCCAGAGCGAGCAAAGGAGCTATAAGAACACTTACTTTTGAACACCTTTCCATTCCAGCTGGTGTAATGCCTGGCAGTTGTTGTAATCTAATTTCCCAAGCTCCAAGTATAAGTTGTTGTTCACTAATGGCATCCTATTCAGATAAACTCACTTATTAATGAAATTTGTATGTTTAAGCGTCCCGTTATAAATTGGTTATCAAGAGAATAAGCATAATAAGATAGCCTTTGGCTGAGTTTGGTAGCCTGATTAGGCTTATTCTGTCATCAGTAGAATAATTACAAACAAGTGGGTTTTGATTTTCGTGTTAGCTAGCTAGATAGGTTTTTTTTTGCATTCAGAAATATGAATTGAATTTCCCAAAATCTGAGAAAAAGAAAGGTGATTTTTCAAGTTAAGAGTGTTATGGTATTTCCTAAAAAATTGCATCGAGTAAAATTGTCATGTGATCATAGTGTCATACTAGTACATTATAGCATGCATAAAAGTGGTGGTATATGTCACTAACTCACTACTCACTGCCATATAGGGTTTACAAAATGATACTTCATTTGTTGTGTAAAGATTGTTTTATTTTTCGGCCAGAATCGTTTCATCTTTCTTTTTCATTTCGTCCCATTAAGATTATTTCATGCTAAATTTGGTAAAATTGTGTAGTTCTAAATCATTCTTAATTTATCAATTTAATATCTATCGCATAAGCTCATTTTTTAATAACTTCCCCCATGCCCCAATGTTAGTGGACGGAGTCACGGAGATAGTAGATATAGTATTTATTCTTATTTAAAAAAAATAAGGAGTACATAGAAGCTCTATTTAGGCCCTAATCCTATTTAGACCTTTAGGACAATTTCTTAAATGTCATATCGAGTTTATATTTTTAGCACAAACGTTCATATTATGAGGTAATTAATCAATGCTTAAGAAAACAAACTAAAGAAATATTACCTGTATAGAGTCTTGCCAATCCAAACATCGTCTTCCCCGCCGTACTGCTCTAGGAACAACCTTGTTTCTAGCCGAGGTAAGCTGGCATACCATGGCACATCAAGTGCATATCCCACCTGTACGTCCCATAACTTTCATTATCCACACATCCAAACACTTTGTATTTACGATTGAGACAAAAAATAATGTTTTGATTGGCGTGTCAAACCAAACAAGCCACTGTACTCAACATTACATCAAATCTTGCTTGTCCTCACTTGTCACTTTGTGAGTTCAATGGTTCAATGTCCATGAAGATATGTCCCCCCTTTTCTTTACCTTTTTTATTCAAGAATATGACTTTCCTTTTGCTTTGTCGTATGTATATAACATAATGTGCGCATGTCACTTAGTACTTGAAACTCGAGTGGAAGAGTACGTTTCTGTTTCGAAACTCTATGAAAACTCTTTAAAAACTCTTCAAACAAGCGTTTTTTTAGAAAAATTAACGTTTTCCGTTTCTCGTTTTCTCATTATTTTTTGCATTTCCGTGCAACATAGACGTGAAATAGTGAAAAATATATGACTAAAATAAAGGTAACGGACAAAAGTATGAAGAACCTCTTAGTACATACCTCGCCCGGTAGATCTTTGGTTATGATCCATTTATCCAACAACTCATTACTAGCTCGTTTTCGTTGGAGGAAGATGGATGCAAATTCCATGGCGTCTTCGAGTATCTTCTCGCCGGGAAATTTTATCTGAGAGGCTCTGTAGAGGTTGTACATTCCGGTCACCGCTTGGTTTGTCTGCCCCGCAAAACACATGAACTCTTCCCCGTTTTTGAAGTTCTTGAAAACCTCTGCCAATTAATTGATTTTACTTTGTGTCAAACAGTTTAAGTTCGAGAGCAAAAGTACCAAGTCTCTCACTCATATTTTACATTTTTACATTGTTTTATATTCCTCCTATTTTAAGAACAAACTTAATTTTCAATTTTTTTGTTTGTTTAAGTCAGCTTCAAAACAAGTAATTTTCAATTTTTTATAATTTAGTATTTTAGTTTGTTATTATTATTATTATTTATGTGGAAATTTTAAAAATCAGATTTTATATTACAACTTTTTTATAGTAAACGTAAAATCTCATTTCTCAAGTAAATATTACAGAGTACAACTTAAATAGTACCAGCTAGTGTACGTCTGAAGGTTAAATGAAGATCTTGCTGATTTTCAAAGTTTTCAATCTCATCGTATGATTAAATACGTAGTACTTCGTGTATAATAAAAGTTATGGAGTATTATTTAAATATATGATTATTAATTGTGTGAGAGCATTTTTCATATGTTAATTTAATAACAGACCTGGAGAAACCTCGTAGCCATGCAATCTTAAAAGTCTAAACGCCATGGCAGTGTCATCTATGTCTTGAACTCTTGTATTTCTTGCCCAACAGATACCCCGCTCACTCCAGTATCTGAAATGTATTGAATCAAAAGTTCTGAAAATAACTCTTCTAGCAAGCCACAAATATTGTACTCCATTTTGGTCTATTAATTAGGATGTTTTCTTTTGAACTCAAATCTGCTAGTCTGATTTGGTTTGGTGTGGTCTGATCTGGTTTGATCTGAATTGGTCTGATCTGGTAAATGTCTAGTCTCTGTGTATTTTATAACTACGAAAGTCTTGTCTTGTCTAATCGGGTCTAGTCTGATCGGGTCTGGTTTGGTCTGGTTTGGTCTGAGACTAGAAATAGTTAAAAAGCAAACACCCTTAGAATGAGGAGCTTGAAAAGAGCCAAAAATATTGTACTCCGTACTAGACATGAACTTCATACTTATTACTCCGTATATACCATCTCCGCCTCATTATACTGTGTAAAGAAATACATTTTTTAAAGGGAAAGTGACAAACTTTTTTTTAAAGGGAAACTGATTATTTTAAAGGGAAAGTGACAAACTTTTTTTTAAATAATAAAAAAGGAAAGTATCTTTTGGGTGCACATACAGCACACTACACTAGACAAAACCTTTTGGGTGCATGGGGCTGGAACCCTAGCCCATGCGTGCCTCTTTTCAAGCTACCTCCTCCGATCCTTATATAGATCGCTTAAAAATATACTCCTAGATTGGACTGATCTGATCTGATTCTGATTCCTAGATCATTTAGTCCATGGTCATCAGGTAAGGGAATGAAGGACTTTATTAATCATATGTACCGCTTCCGGTTCCGGTTCACCAGTCGTTCCTTTTTTTTTAATTAATTACAAAAAATCTCCGTTAAGATCGAAACCGTGGTCAGGCTGGTCGATTTGGATCTCCAAAATAGCTAACCGTGACCGCCATCTGTATATTGTCAGACGCGATCACGTCCTGACCAAGAGCTACCTAGCTAAAACTAGAAATATACTATCGTATACCACAATAAAAAAATAGTGTGTTGTACATGAATATACCTATGTACGTAGTGAATACATTGTGCAATTTCTGATTTGAAATAACGAGAGATTCCAAGCCTTTGGAGTCGATCCACGACCCATATATGCTCAAACAAGTCCACCGGGTACACATTCGGAACTGAACCAATATTTCAGTTAGTGTACGTTAATTAATGAGATTATGAAAAAATATGACTATTATTAATAGATTAAAGTTATAATGAGATTAAAACAGGGAAAAAATGATTTGTACACGCTCTTTTTGAACACATGTCAGTGAAGCTTCTTTTTCTGTCTATGAATAGCCTGCTCACAGAAAAAATATGTGAACACGCTAATCACAGACGAAAAAAATGTATCTAACATACACGTTTAAGAGTGTGTACAAAAAAGTGTGTACAAGCAAAATTTCCGTAAAAAACAGTTGGTACGTACCTCCGCCATGAAATTTATGAACGGCGTTGGAGAGGTAGCGGAGACAATTGGGATCACGGGTGTGGATGAGGGCAAAAGCGGTAGAAGCGGGAGAGAAGAGGAAAGAGCCATCATCGCACTTCAAGTCCAGAAGCTTTTCCCACTCCAAATCTTCCATTCCTTCCAAGCTGTGGAGCAACGTTGTCGGCACTTCATGCATCACCTTCTTTGGTATCCTGCATCACCCACCCACATCCACTCATTACTCGCACTATTACCCATGCATATATGCTACCTACCTATCTCCACTTTTTGTAATAATACAATATTGATCATCATTATAATAACACAAAATAATTTTAAATCATATCAGCCATTAATAATAACGATTTCCTAAAATTAAGATTCGATTTAAACAAGGTCATTGCTTTTACACGAAAAAAATCTTGATATCACTACAAATTTATATGTTGAGTTATTACAAATGTCGTCGTCGTTGTCACCGTGTCATGTCGCAATTGCAATGAAACATGTTATTGTCACTGTCAAAAAAAATTCCAGTCATTCTTTCGGGTGATGGTTTCGATGAATTTTCTTATGATGATTCTGGCGATGATTTTTGGCAGACATTCCTGCCCGGCCCGGACCCGGGGTTACCCGGACCGGTTCCGAGCCTCTCTTCATGAACCGAGGCCCGAACCGATCCACCCCTAGGCTGGGGTGAAAGTTGGATAGAATTACAAGTTAGGAAAGGAAATTTGAATCAACTAAACAAAGGTTAGTCATTTTTACAACACCGAGGTAAAAATTAATACAATACCGGGAAGAATCAAATGAATTCTATAGTAGAAACCCCTCAAATGTAAAACCGACACCTCACGTCTACTTTCTAAATCTGTAATACAAACAAGGATGAAAAAGAAATTAAAAATGGAAAATAATACGGAGTAGTACTTCACATATCCTCATGAAATATTTTATGCATCGTTATCGACTTGTCGTTCTTTAAAATAAAAGCGGCCCCCGTATTTCTTGTTTGCCTACATATAGGTTACACTCCTATTCAATTTAAATGGATGCTTTTACTTTTGAGTCTCTCATACTTTTACTACTTCAACAAATCAAAACATTCCATACTAAATCAAACCAGACTAGTGAATTCCGGTACAAGTAAAAATATGGAGAAAATTTGTTGAATATAAGACTATAAGAGTAAGAGAAAAGCGAAGTCAATTAATAGTAATTTGTCTTAAAATATGACTCATTTATTCTTAATTGGAAAAGTTTTATACTTTTCTATACCACTTTTATTTCATACGGAGTATAATTTACGTAGTATTTAAATATTAGACGCAAAGTCAAACTAATAATCAGAATATTATTATATATCCAATTTCGGTTTTGAGTTTGGGTACTACTTTCTTAACCACATTTGTCTATGTTATCACGATTAGTTTCTTCTAGACGCCTGGCCCTAGTTTATTACACTTTAGGGGCAGTGAATGTTGAAACTATTACCATAAATAGGACGTGTTTTTACACTGAACACCAATTATTATACTACGCATATATATTAAACACACATTTCTAAATTTAGTAACGTGAACAGTGTAGAAGAATCCATTAGACCATTATTAGCCCTCTTATTAACTCTCTACTTCTTCCAAAAAAGTTGAATCGCCAACCCTAAGGGCTAAGGGTGTATGTGGGAGATGAATTTTGGAGGGGAAGGAAAGGTTGGTGGGGGTTTATGACTATGCTTTTCATGTTTGAGAGTTTATAAAATTGGAGGAATGATTTTGGAGGGCTTTCATGACCTTCCAAAACCATCTAAATGTTAAAATTTTGAGTTTCCCCAATTTGGAAAGTTTTGAAGGATAATTAACGAAATGGTAATATTTAAGCTCAATTAAAAATAATTATCAATTCAATTATTTGAATTCGTCATATCTCAAAGTGATTTTTTTACAATTCATTCAAAAACTCTCAGCTCTTATTCAAAATTTATTACTCACAAATACAAAGAACGGCTTCCTCACCCTCCTCTTTCTTTCCTCTCCAACAACATACCTCCAAAGTTTTCCCCTCTCATTCCCTTCAAACTCCCAAACATACCCTAAGGCCCCTCCACGCCCCGACCTGACAAAACTTTTGGGAGGTTGTAGGTCACAGTGACTCAGTCGGCCCAATGATGGTAGACCTTGTACCCGTGCACACCAGAAGTCCAGCCTAGCACGCAGGAGCTGTAACTCCACACGGTCGTTGCACGTTTCGATCCTTGGTCATTCTTCCAACTTTCCCACCACTCAACCAATTGAGCTACCCGTGCGGGTACCCTTTTATTAACTCTCCATATTTCATATTAGGATGTTTTCATTTGGATTGAAATTTGTTGTCTTGTTTTGTCTGGTCTAGTAAATATCTGGTCTCTTTATATTTTATAATTGTCCAAATCTACTCTGATCTGTCCTGGTCTGTTTAAGTTTGGTCTGGTCTAGTCTAGTCTGTTTAAGTCTGATCTGATTTGATCTGGTTTTATCTGAGATTGAAAACAGTTCAAAAGAAAACATTCATCCTTCTATATGTTATTCTAAAACTTATTTCGAAAAGGATTACCTATTAAAATATTTTTTCTATTCTCTTATGCATATCCCATTACACGTCAACACCCATTACTTTTGAGTTTTGAGCACTGTCTTTACTTTTGAGAATAATTTATACCATTAGGGCTGTCAAAAGTCCCAAAAGACCTACCCGTCTACAACATGCGATATCCTTTTCAAGACCTACTTGATAACTTCAATTCATCTATGGTTTAGACCCTAGTACACCGAGTTGAAAATTTCTACCCTTTTAAAATAATTGCCGAAGTGTCCAACTCATCTTTGAATTATATTATAAAAAGGGCTAAAATGTAACAAGTTTTGAAATTTTAAAAATAGAAATTGTTAGTGACATGCCATTATTGAAAAATATTGTATTAATGGAAGTAAATCTTTCAGCCTAATACTACAATGTAACTATTTTGACACTAATGATTTCAGATTCCAAAAATGACAGTAAATACTATCATGTTGCTCCTATTTTGAGGAGAAAGACATAGTAGTACTATTGTAGAAGACTAAATCAGGTTTAGTCCTATTTCAACAGCTTTCCCAATTTAATTTTATCTTAATCAGAATTCAGAAGGCATTAATATGAACACCAATTAAAGTATGTTATTGATATTGAACTTTTAGGATGTATTTACTTGGACGGGTTTTAGTCCTAGAACAAACTAAAACAGACAGTACTAGACTTAAACTGATCGGATTAGGCCAGACTTAAACCGATGAGACCAGACTGTCATAGTTATAAATACAAAGAGGCCGACCAGATATTTACCAGATCAGACCACACCAAACTTAAACAGACCAGACTAGATATATCTTGACATTGTAAGAGAAGGTTTGATAATAATGCAAGTATGCAACTATATATTCTCGCTATCTTTTTGTGAAATATAAGATTAGCTATTTTTCATAGTTCTTCCACACATTCACAGGAAAAATCAATATTAATTACTTCTATTATTATATTGGTAGATTGGTAGATATGAAGGACCTATGCTCTACGCTACACCAGTTTCCTAAAACTATTAACACGCACCTTACATGTAGCTAGTGAATATCTTATGTAACATATAGGATTTTGATTAAGTTAATGTAGTAACACATACGTGTACTAATCTTTTTGGAAACACGTCTTTGAAAATAAAGCATATTTTAATGTGTAATAATTACTTGGTGAATCTTTTTGGTATAAAAAAGTTACTTCGAATGATGTCTATTCTTTGAAAAGGTCAATGCATCTTTTTTTTCTGAGTGAAAGGAGAATCATACGCAAAATTACGTCATGCATGAAATCATAATGTCATAACCAATAATGCAATAACTATGATGAGCTGTGAAAAGCACGGGATTGATTAATTAATGTGTGTACATACTTTGTAAGCTTGAGATTTCTATGAGCATAAATCTTTTGGAAGGGCTGAGAAGATGAATGATCTGGAAAATGAATGTCAAGCTTTTTGGCCATTTCAATCAGAGAGGGGAAGGCCACTTCAAAGCCAATGGGCATGTGCTCACCATCCTCATCTTCCACCTTTCTGATGTTTTTTCTCAAGAACATTATTCCTGTATCCATCCATTGAGTGGTTGTGTCCCAACTCACAAAACCAATTAAAACATGCAAAAATAAAATAAAATAAATGAAACACTATTATTAGTTGTGTATTCTTCACATGCAATGCTGCCATGATTGCCATCTTATTATGTGCATATCCACATATGTCTGTGCGTGCGTTTTCCAATATAATTACCATTTTCCCTCCCTTACAAACGAAGGCATGTTTTTTGAAAAGCACATTTTGCGTTCAACAAAATTTCAAATGATTTAAATACCCTAAATTTTATAAAAGCGTGAAATGAATACTCTAATCTTTCATGTGTAAAATAAGTGCCATAAACATTACTTACATTACTACACTGCTGGTTTATTAAACACTAAATTCAAATAAATTATTTTTAAAAGAAAAGCTTAGGATTTTAAGTACACCCTCTTAAATGTTGATTAAGAGTGTTAAAGTTATACACATAACATTGCGAGTTTACCTTTGTGAAAGAAAAAACCTAATTAACCTTGAATATAAAAGTTCATGATATAAAAGTAAAACGTTTTGAAATTTCAAAACAGGAGAACTACGTTTATATTCCCGAGATATAAATAACTATTGTAAAACGTAGAAACACTGTCATGTTTAAAGTCTCATAATGGTAAAGTGTGGTAATACTCGTATTTAAGGAATAAAAATCTAGTACTCCTATTTTGAAATTTAGAAACGCTTTTACTTCCGATATATTCAAAGTGAATTCTTGATTTCTATATACTCCAAGTATAATTTGTATATATCTAGAACTGGTTATAGTAAAAGTTCTATTAAGCATAAAAAATCACATTTGAGTAGAGTAAATAGGCATTAAAAAGAAGAATATGAACCTAGTTGGAATTGTTGAGGATAGAGATTCCATGATTTCAAGGCGATGACACAAGCCAAAGTGTTGAGCACACGGTCGTGAGCCAGGAAGATGGCGCGGTCGCCCCATGAGCCATCGGGGAGCTGATTTTGGGCGATCCAGTCCAGCGCACCCGGGAACTGTGGGCTCATCCCTCCCTTCTCTTCATCCTTAACCAGAGCCACCCAAGCCGTATCGTAAGCTGACACACTAATCTCCCCGTCCTCCATCGACATTAGCATTGATCTCACCCTTTCCACTCTCTCCTTTATCTCATTCTCTAATGATGTTATTACCTGATATAATCACTCAATTCTTTATCAAACTGATGAAACACGCCGTTATCGTGTAATAATCAAAATAAATAAGGTTGATGTTACTCTAGAGAATCACTTTAACTATTTTTTCGTACACTTTTATCTATTTTATTAATAAAAAATATTTTGAATACAATTTTTTCATGTTTCAACAGATTCAACCCTCGCTTTAGATAAATTTTCATTAGTTTCAACCCTTCAAGCTCTTAATCTTTGGGGGGTTATTCCTTTTTTCTCTTACTCTTTACATCGCGCTAGAATTGTGTCTTTTTTCTTTTTTCTAAAATTCCATTGAAATTGTCTCATATAAAATTTAATAAAATTTGTGTGTCCTATAAATCATTTTTACTTGATTCTTAATTTATCTATTGAATATCAAACCCATAAACTCATTTTTTTATTCTTAATAAATGGTTTTGTAAGTACTTTGAGTTTACTAGAATTAATTCGCAACAACAAAAAGACAAAGCAAAGAAACCAGAGCTGCTCCATCTATCCGTCAATGCCAAGTACAGTCTACCTGTCCTTAAATTGGAAGTACATTCTAAAAGACAAAACATGCGAAGAAGACGCATTTCCATCTTTATTTTAATTCGTTGGCCTTTTCTTCAACATTTTTAACTTCACCTTAAAATTACTCCTTAACAATTTTTCTTCAACAATTCGTTTGGCCTTTTCTTCAACAATATTGTACATCCCGTAAAAACATTCTTAATATTGACCATCATATTAATTAATTACAGGATAACTTTAATATGTTTTTAATTGAATTTCTTTCAACATATACAATATTAAAAACAAATAATTACACTTTTTCTATAACAGATTTAAATAGATTAAACAAATCCAAAAATTGAAAACATATAAAAATTTTGAGGATAAATCAACAAATACTGCCCAAATAATTAATATCTGTTTAATTAACTAAATCTACATTCCAAATACATACTACCGAGATTGCACCAATAAATTTCAATAAATGAATCTGTAATGCCATAGTGGGTGTTGACTTCTTTATTATAAAAAAGTAAAAGTATTTTGATCCGCACATACATAATCAAATATTTTACAAAAAAGGAATTAATATTTTTGGAATGATAACATGTCAGCATTAATTATGAAAATTAATCATGTGGTAGTCATATGCACTACCAACGAGGCACGAGATTGACAGATATTTTTTTGCAAGGATTTTCCAAAATAAGCAGGAATTTTAGTGGGAATATATCAAATTCGTGTCAAAAAAAGTCTGGGACGAGTTATCTGATCAGGGACGGATCCAGGATTTCGAGTCAAGGGGGGCGAAAATTTTCGTTAGTCTAGGAGATAAAAAATTCATTGTAGCGGGGTGAATTTTTTTTCTAGTGTAGCGGGGCGAATTTTTTCACTAGTGTAAGGCTCTGCGGCTATTTTTATTCAAAAAAAAATCATTAATACATACGTGACGACATTTAAATCTATATATTACATTCTAAGTTTAGACGATGACAAAATAACTTTAATTTTATAATTGGAGTGTTCTAGAAAAAAGTATTGATACATTAAAGCATAAGAAATGACAAATCAATGGAAAATAATACAAAAATAAAAAAGGATATATAACATTTTATTTAAATATAAAGAGTTTATAAGGTTCACATTCACGAGTACTTTTAAAATAATTTCAACATTGTTTAACTACATGAGTCTTATAGAAATAAAGAATTGATTTTTGAATTACAATTTTTGTCTATCATTGAGGGTGTTCATAAGTCACAAGCAGTTCTTTTAATATTACAATAGTATGTATGATTATATTATTTTTAGAATAAAATTATATTGATAATTCATATATATAGTGCATATTATATTTGTATTAATGCTAAAATAATTAAAGTTTATTATCTATGCAATAAAGTCTTTTTAGAATGTAAGAAGTAAATGAATAGTGTAATTCAACGTCAATAAACATTTATAATTTGGATTACTTCACATGATCTAAAAACTTTGTAGCTAGAGTGTCTGGTATTTAATATCGTTTGATATATATTTTTCAAAATTGTTTACTAGTTATCGAATAAAGATAATTAAACATTACAAAACTAAGAATTTTTATATAATAAGCATCCTAAATCTCAAATAATGAGTTCTTCTATTGTTTATTTAAGTTATGTAAATTATTTTAGATGTTCCTTTTTTAAATCTCCGATTAAGTATTACATTATGTAAGACTATATATCAATTTTAAAAACTAAAAGTTAAGGGAGGCAATGTTCAACAAAAAAATTAAGGGGGCGAATCTAATTAAAGTATCAAAATTTTACAAAAACATTACATATATAGTAGAAAATTTTGAAAGTCCAAGGGGGGCGGTCGCACCCCGCGTCCCCCCTTAAATTCATCCCTGTATCTGACACGAAAACATCGATAAATCCCGTACAAAGAATGACATGTTTCCTTTTAATATAAAACTAAAGCTATAGGACTATTAGGAGTAAATTAAGAATGATACTCCGTACTAATTACTGGAGAGTGAATCATACTCCGTATATAGGATCGGACATATAAGTCGTACAACGTATGAACGTACCATAGGGAAGATCAAGGAAATACTCTACCTATGAAACAGACGACGGATGAAGATGTATATCTATACATTATAAATAAAAAGAGCTAGGTAATAGTGATAGTAAATTATTTTAATAAATTACAAACTGAAATATGTATTTTTTTAAGAGAAAAAATTGAACAAATTCTTGATTTGTGCGTAGCATTCTTGTGAAGGAGTTATGCTAATCTTTTTTGTATCCTTCCAGTTTTATTGAACGGCCCAAAGGGAAAAAAATGTAATTTTCTGAAATACCAGACATGTCATTGCCGACTCAGCTCATTGCTGGATCAACTTATTTTAACGTGTATTCTGAAAAGATCGTTTTATTATAATATTGTATACTGCATACAATTAATTAGAATAACAACAATAACGCTCAAATATGGTATGATTGACAAGTATAAATGCGATACAAATAAAAGAAATAAATAAATACGTGTATTTCATGTTATCTAAAGGTTATGTTAAAGGAAACTTTTTATAAAAATAAGGGCATAAAGAAAGAGAGGTAAATGGTGCAAACCAGATGATAGATGGATACAAACTTTAGTCCTTTTAGAAAAGATTCATATCTTTTGTTCCAAATGGTGCAGACTTTAGTCTTTTTATAAAAATAAGGGCATAAAGAAAGAGAGGTAAATGGTGCAAATCAGATGATAGATGGATACAGACTTTAGTCTTTTTAGAAAAGATTCATATCTTGGAACAATATAAAAGATTCATATCTTAGCTATTTAGTGGATAGGTCAAACTTGGTCCAAAAGGTGGAATCTCCCACCCCAATAGCCCCTCATACCTCAACTCGATAGGATTTTTGGGAGGATGTTAATCACGGTGACTCAGTCGGCCCAATGATGGTAGGCCTTTTTTCCGTGTGCACCAGAGCCTCAGCCTTATTTCAGGTTCTGTGATCTTCACACGGCCGCTGTGGGTTTCGAACCTTGATCACTTGATCTAAACTTATATTTGAAAAGTGTAACTACTTTTATTTTATAAAATTTGTTAATTCTATGAAAGTGCTTTAATTGCTGCTGCATATTATTAGGACAGACTTAAATTTAAGACGATTTGTACAAAGCACAAAATAAAGAATCTTAAATTAAACTGGGAAAATTAAAAAGGAAGACAATAACCACTAACCACGTCGCACCCGTTAGTTTGTTTTTCAACAATGCTATCATTGTCCAGCCTCTCATTCCACTTCAGCACCGGCAAACCATTTTGGAACACGTCTACGTATTCTGCAAATTTTAGCGTACAAAATTTAATTACTAGCTCATATTGATTAATCAATAGAAATTGCTCTAAATAGGAGCAAAAACGTTTTGAAATTTCAAAATAGGAGTATTATGTTTTTTATTCCCTAAATAGGAGTAATCTACCAAATTTAGAAAAAAATGTCATGTTTTAAAGCCTAGTAATGCCAAACTTGGCAGAAATTTACTCCTATTCAAGTAATAAAAAATATGATACTCCTATTTTGGAATTTCAAAACTTTTTTACTCCTATTTAGGGAATTCTCCCATTAATCAATTATTATTAGGATGAGTTTAGTTAAGTATAACACTAAGTATTTGGACGAAATCAAAGAAAACCGTAGCATATTGGCTATATTGAAGTTCTGACTGAAGTGACTATATTGGCTGATTCCATGGATTCATGAAAAAATTATATTTAAAATATTTGTTTTAATAAATTAATTAAAAAAAATCTGAAAAAATAGCTAAAATGATCATCTACAGTAACTTCAATCAATGCAGCCAGAAAAGTAACTCTAAACTTAGTTTTTCTGCTTATTACAAACGTCAGCGCGTGAAATCAAAAGTTACGTGATTGATGAAAAAGCTAGCTGATAAGCCTGACAAGGCGAAGAAAGGAGTGACCAAACGGGCTCTTTTTTTTCTGGTTGAATTGGTTGAAGTTACAGTAGAGAATCATTTTAACTACTTTTAATATAATATTTTTATTTTAATAGTCAAAAACTGTGAATGTTTGAAATTTGGAGTATAATTTGTCCATTTTGATGCTACCACTTCGATTAAAATTTCATCAATTTTAATGCTACCAAATGAGATCTTCAACAAAATGTATCATTTCTATCAAAAACTACATATTGGTGGTAACTTTTAATATACTAGTATAAAAAACATAAAGTTACCGCACCAAAAAAACAATCTTCCTAGCTCATGCTACGTATTTCTCTTGTCATTGTAGGTATTTCATGAAGATTAAGAAAAGTTAGAGACAGCCGTGTGAAAGAAAAGAATAAAGTGGAAAAAGTAAGAAAGAAAAACAGAAACATATAGTGAAAGGTAGATTTTATGGTACCCATAAGCTACCATACATTTATCCATATGCACCAATAAAAATGTACCAGTTGAATTATTTAAATCTAAATTAAAAGTGATAAAGTAATGTGGTCCAATCAAATGAATATTAGGTACGGTATCCCATTTTTTAGAAAGATACCGGAGTTGTCACCGTTGTGAAAAAGCAAAGCAAAACAAAACAAAGAATATGGAAAAAGTAGAATACAAGTTTCCTAATATGGAAATAGATAAATACTCCGTAATAAAAAAACATCCACATTACAAGTAAAAAACAACCGATGCAATATTATCATAAGGAATTTAATTCAATTATGCATGTATGTTTAATATGCTTCCTATTCAAACCCGCGGGCCAACCTTGTGTACGAGGTTTTGACACAGCATTGCATTGCTGACTGGGAGTGAAACTCTGCGGCTGCCGCTGGCCGGAAGACGACCAGTTTCCTGGAAATTAATAAATACATAAAATTTAATCAAAAACATCAATTCCAGAAATAGCATTTTCTGTCAAAAATACCAAATTTCTGTAAAAAAAAACTGCAGTTTAAAGAAGCAGCCAAGACGTAAAAAAAAATCTGCTGTTCAAAAAAAAAGAACAGAAATGCTTGGGCCTTGGTGTACACCTTTTTGTGTACATCATTCACACCTCTTGTCTGTCTTTGCAGATAGAGTTGTCTCTATAGCAACAACTCTGTCCGTATAAACAAACAATGGGTGTGTACACAAGATGGTGTACACCAAGCAGTTTTCGAAAAAGAAAGACCGACCTGCTTTGAGGTAAAACTGAAGAGGTGGCGGAAGATAGGCCGGAGGATAATGGAGAGTGGTGGAAGGGAAGAATCTGCAGTTTAAAGAAGCAGCCAAGAAACATTGAGCAGACATATTGTTTCCTTCCTCGATCACCAGAAGAGCTAGCAGCTAAAACTAACAACTATTATATTCCTTGTGATTTTTTGTTTGTTATGTGACGGGGCAGGGTGAAAATGAGCTGAGGAATGATATGAAGAAGTGATCTGATGAAGGGATCGAGGGAATATATATATAGAGATCAATCAGACATGCTGTTATAAATAATATATATAAAAATATTATAGGAACAAAATTATATTATTTGTAATGGAGATTCAGGTTCTAAAAGATAAAGGGAATTGGAGATGAAGCAAAAAAGAATTAATACGACAAAGCGATGGGGCTTCTCACTGGCTAATGAGGGCAGGGCACATAATTATATAGCATGGACCCATTTTCTATCAAAGCAAATTCTTAATTTCTATTGAGGACATATATGGCACTTTATTGAATGTCCAACTAAAATGGGACGAATTCTACCAACTACCATATTAATTAATATTATCTCAATTAAGTGTACACATTTATAAGTTTCCCAAAATAGGAGTAAATAGATTTTGGAATTTCAAAATAATACCGTTATGTTTTTTTTCGAAATAGGAGTAACGTGGCAGTGTTTACTGTCATTTTCTAGTCATTACTGTTAAATAATTGCAGTACAAGACATTTAACATGACAATATTCATTATTACTAATTATAATGTTTTTCAATCACGACAGTATTTGCAATCATGACGATAACGACTCTTATTTCGAAAAGAAAAACATAACAATCATATTTTGAAATTATAAAACTTATTTAGTCCTATTTAGGACAATTTATCGAAAAGTAATAAACGAGTATCGAACCAGTGCATTGCATGGAATATTATTTGTAACATTGAACATGTCAAGTAATAACATTAAATTTAAAAATAATTAGTAAAATAATAATATATATTCCCTATGTGTAAAATAGACTTTTCATCTTCGATATATTCCAATAATATAAACCTTTTGTTTTCTCATTCAATCATTGTATTTTAGGAATAGTATAGAACAAGGTATATGTGGTTGATCCGTTTTCAGATTGGGGTTCGTGTTTAATTTATTAATAAAGTCATTTATGTGTTTTAATTGCGGTGTCACCGGAGGGCCGCATTTTCATCTTTGTCTCTGTCTCCGACTCCATCTTCATTCTCATCATTCTCCATCTTCATCTCCATCTTCATGTTCTTCTCAAATCACTAGTGGAAAAACGCCAAACAAAGGCGCTTCATTTGAGGCGCTTTTCAGCACAAGTGCCTCTGTTCAGCGATTTTTTTTTGCACTTGCGTGCGGCGCTTTTACCCATTAAACGCCTCCAATTATTTTTTCGAAATAATTCTTTTTTAAAAAATAAGTCCATTTGCGGCGCTTTATTCTGATTTAATAGAAATTGATCGGTTTTCTTCTATTCGAAAGTCATGGATTCCAACCAGGGACGACGCCAAACATTGAGTTGTGGTGTCAATTGAAACCACTGAATTTATTTATGTGTGTATATATATATTGAAATTTTAAGGAATGACACCATAGTTTTTAAAAATAAAGTCAATATATAAGAAATGACACCACATATTCTCAACATCTACTCTCTTTATCTAACAATATTTTTCCAAGTTTGATTGAAACAAAAATCAATAAAATAAGAGCTATATTTTCTGACAAAATTTAAATATTAAGGTAGTAAAATATGACCTTGAGTTTTTAAAGCTTCATAACTTCATGCAGTTTATAGAACACCTTAAAGAAAGGCGATACATAATAATGATGTGCAAAATTAATTACTACGAATAATATTTTGCAATCTACATTCCATAACAATGTTTTACTAATTATGTGGTCTTTTTATTAGACAACATCTCTTGTAGTAAAATATTACAGACACTATTAACAATAATACATATAATTATGCTTCTCAATGGCAATACCCAATACCCAAGAAGTTTGGATACATATCAATGATGCTGGAAAAAAATTAATTTTCCCTCAATATATCCCATTTTTCAACACAAAACTGTTAAAATCTTCCCAAAATGGTACTGTAACATAAACTGTTGTTTTAGTTTTATTTGGAAAATAGATGCATACAGAATATTAGAATGTTATACTTGCAAATCTAATTGTGTTTGGTTCGACTTGTATAAGTAAAACCTTGTAAAATAATCACTCAATCAGCTTAAATGGGTCAAAATTTGTTAACTTAAGTAGGTGATTAGGTCAATGGCCTTGAAATCCAAAAACTCTTCCCAATCTAAAATAGTGTTCATTCACTTGCAAGTTTTGCTCCAAAAGCAAACCAAAACTGATTTGATAAGTGTTATTCTATCATATGAGTTGGTATCGGCTTGTGAAGTTCATCTCTATATGTCTAAAACTTTCATCCTCTTATAATCTTGCTCTAAAACATCGTTATGCGACTATGAAAAAAATAATTTTCCCTGGAAGATTAAAATGAAAATGCTTATTGTAATGAATTAGCTTGATTCGATAAACATAAATAATAAAAGAAATTGTAAGAACCATCAGAAACAGTTGTTTTTAAAGCTTCATAATTGTAATGAATTAGCTTTATATTCCCCAATATATAAAACGACAGTTATACATAATCATGAACATTTTTTTAATCAAATGTCAAATATATTCAGGAATACTAAGATCGTCTGTTAAAAGTAACTCATATTTCACTTGTGAATTTCGTCGAACACTTAAGAAGCAAGAGTTATTGATATTTCACTTGTGAATTTCGTCTAACACTTTAGAAGCAAGAGTTATTGATATTTCACTTGTGAATTTCGTCTAACACTTAAGAAGAAAGAGTTATTGATATTTCACTTGGGAAATTCGTCGAACACTTAAGAAGCAGAATTATTGATATTTCACTTTGAAAATTGGCCGAACATTTACCAAGCAGGAGTTATAGATACGTATTATTTCACTCGGGGAATTCTAAAAAAGATGTTGCTCAAAGAAAAAACCCGCTAATCAACTTGAAAATGAATCTTTGTTTGCTAACGTGTTGTATAACAAAAAGCAAAATTACTAACCTGGTCAGTAAATTGATCCAGCGGTTTTAGTCAGGCGTGGAACACTGGCCGGCGCGCGCTGCAGCATCTCTCATCCGTAGGAAAGAAGACGATTCTTCGCATCAGGGTAGACCGCAGGGGTATGCACAATTACGTAAACCAACCTAACCAAACCCATACAGAAATTTGGGTACGTGTCAAATACCGAACCGAAATTTCGGTTCGATAATCGATATGTGTAATTTTGAAAATTTGATTTTCGGTTCGGTATATATATAAAAAATTTAGTTTTCGGTATGCACTGAATACCGAAATTTCGTTATTTAATTTATTATTTTAAATAAATTAAATAATAAATAATAAATATATAATATATTTATATATTGTGGCCTGGAATATATTAGTATTGGTATATTTATATATATATTGTTATGTGTTACATATTTATACATAATATATTTAATTATTAATATTTAATATAATACATTTAAATATAATATATATGTGAATATTTAAATTTAATTTTTTTATTTAAACATTAAATGCCTATTTGGTAATTCGATTTTACCGATTACCAAACCAACTTTTTTTGGTTTTAACCGATCCAAACCGATTTAGTTTAGTTCGGTATTCGGTATGGAATTATACAAAACCGAAATTTCGGTAAATCAAAATTTCGGTTCGATTCGGTTCGGTATTACCTAATGAACACCCTGTTAGGGACTAGACCTAAGGCTATTTCGTTTTTTTACACATGTGCTATTTCGTTAAGAAGGAAGAAAATAATACTCCAGATTGTTTATGGTAAATTAGTACTACTAGTTACACCACCCGTGCATTGCACGGGGTGAAGAACATATATTATATCATAATTTAGATGCACTTATATAAAAACATAAAAGATGACCGTGACTTAAATAGATTAAAACATTAAACAAAATCCTAAATAAGATTTCATTGTTTTAGAGAACTAAGAAACAAATGGTCAAAATTTAGTCTAAAATATCATACCGTAATTCCACAAAATTGTTAAAGAAAACGAAATTATTGTAAATTTCTTTGCACACCACATTCAACATATATTTGATTGGATCATCGAGTTCGTCACATATCACAAACTCCAAACATGATGAACGTGTTATTTTGAAGACTGTCATGTACAACTATCCATATATTAACAATTTCCCTGGACTCCCTTGGCTCTTACTAATTGTCAGTTCTGACTAATCATTAATGTCAATTGTTAGTTCTAAAAACTGATCTATAGTCTAACCTTTGGTGGTGTTAAAGTAAGTCTAGAGATAAGAAACTCTCAACCACACTTTCTTTATGCATCATTTGAAACTCAATTATGTGAGCTGCAAGTTTGGTCACATGAAGTTGTGTTCCATTGCACCATCTAGATGAAGGGTCTATTCCTCATAAGCATCACGTGTACCGCCATGTTCATTTTGAGCTCATTAGTTCATTTAACAGTATTAAGAAATTCAAGAAAGTGTATCTAGTGTACAATGTCACTATATTATCTACATAAAGAAGATCAAACCAAACTTAGATAAGTCTTAAACTCAAAATCTATCTCACTCAATATGTAATAATTGACCTTATCAGTCTCATTAGTGGTCGCAACAAGAATAGTGCTGGATTAAAGACACAAAATTGTGTCAGTTTAAGTAAGAAGTCAAAATAAACTTCTCGGAGAATAGATTCAACATGATCATTGGAGTAATCGTATTGTCTATTAAGTTTTCACAATAGATTCAACATGATCATTCCACAGAAGAGATTCCATCTTGATTTTCACAAAAGCACCATTAACAGTCTATACACTTGCCTGGATGAAGTCAAGAGCATTGAAAGAGCCGGCCGTAGGTGAAACCTAAGGCCATCATCAATCTTTCTTTTATTCATGCCCATTACAGTAGGTCCATCAGCTTTATATGGAATGACATTATCTCCTTGCATGAAAGGACCCGAAGATGTTTTTGTTTTGCAATCAGATAACTCCGCTCCTTCTTGATCCTTTTAAATTGTAGTTGCATCTAGAAATTAACTTCACACAAATTGATCAATAACCAACTTCTCAAACTACATTGCTCT